ATGGGCTTTGGTAATGATTTTTAAATCTGGCAACAAGCTAACCCTGCACAGTCTCACAGAAGAGTGATTGAGGACAGCGTTAACCAACTTACCGGTAAAGAAAGTGGATATAGCACACTGCAATGGAAGGATTACAGCCTCCGCCAACTCTTCAACTGACCGGTAACATAGCTGAAAATTGGAGAAAATTCAGACAACGTTTTGACCTATATCTGGCTGCAACCGGTGCCGACGAGAAAAGTGACAAAATGAAACCATGTTCCTGCACGTGGTTGGTGAGGAAGCACTGGAGGTTTACAGCAACTTTACGTTTGACACTGAAGAAGACAAAATGAAGCTACAGAAAATAATGGACAAGTTTGAAGGTTACTGCATACCCAAGAGAAAGGTAGTAGTGTAAAAGGCTTGGAATACGTTATTAATATCTTGTGGATTATAAACAATTTCACCTCTAGGTTTAAGTATGGATAGAATTAATGCTTTTTGCATTGGAATTGATTTGCCAGATTACCTATTTTGTTTCTATACTGAAAGTGTTCATATTTGAGTTGTTGAATGAGAAACTGCGCTTTTTTATATATAATATTTTCAAGTTGCATTTTTAGTTTGTTTAATTCATTTTGTGTTTGTTCGCTAGGGTTTTGGGAATGTAAATTTGTGAGTTGTTTCATCTTATGTTCTAAGGTGCTTTCCAGTTCTAGTTGGGTTTTTTTGTACGAAGAGTATGATATTATTTTCCCTCTAATTACTGCTTTGCCTGTTTCCTATAATAATGAGGGTGAGATTTTTGGAGAGTCGTTCATCTCCAGAATGCCCACTCTTTTTCAATAAATGTAATAAAATCTAAGTCCTGGAGTAATGATGTATTGAAGCACCATCTTCTAGAGGGTTTAGTATGGGCTTCAATATTTAATGTGAGGGAAATGGGAGCGTGATCACTAATTATAATGGAGTGGATTGTGGTGTCTGTTACATATTGGGTAAGGGAATTACTGATGAGAATAAGGTCTATTCTAGAAAAAGACTGATGAAGGGAGGAAAAGTAGGTGTATTCTCTAGATGTAGGATTACTTATTCTCCAGCTATCACCAAGTCCATAATGCTCAACCATAGTGCTAAAAGAGACATCTGTAAAACTGTTGACAGGATGCCTCCAAATGCAAACAACGTTTATGTATTTTTGATCCATGAATGTTTTATTTTGGTAAAACTTTCCTAGAGCATATAAAATTGATGTCACTCGAGTGTAAATTCTATGGGTCAAGTGGGACCTCACAGGCAAGGCTGGTGGTGGTAAAACTAAAATGAATGTCCAGTGGGCTACATAATACCAAAGCAAACCTGAATGCTGGGTTTGTGGTGCATGCACCAGGTGAGCAATTTCCCAACTGGGTGACTGGATGCTATCTTTGAGCGCAGTGTTCAGTTCCTTTAATAAAACCGTGACTCACGTAGACATCCTTATGCAGCCTAAAACATGTGACCAACTATCCACACTGCAAATATGCTGACTGTGGCAGGGGCACCGCTATCAGTTTTGGGCCCTATGAAAAAATTTGAAGTTGGGCCCTCTACCCACAGACTGTGGGCCCCCAAAGTTCGTTGGCCCTTCGAATCGTCCTAACTCATCCCCCCCATGCTCTTATGAATTAGCAATTATGTATCACTTTCTCTCAAGGAAAGTATAGAAAACTATGGGACCCAGTGGCGGGCCGTCAGGGCCAGCGAGGCCTTCTCTGCTGGCCTAAACACTATTAGAAGCACTGATCTACATTTACAACCGAAATTCTAATATTTGTTCCATGAAATTGTATTAATTTATTCCCAACAGTCTGTTCTCTTCATTTCGTAGTATTTCTCTTGGCTGCACCGCTTCCAGTACGTGTATGTGGATGTTAGATTTTTTGTCCAATCAGATTTCAGCCTCTATGTGTTGCCATGTCAATCTAATCTGCCCAGGGCCTTCAGAATCAGAAGTGCTGGCCCATGTAACTTAAACTATATTAGCAATGGGACTGTTTCTTTAACCAATCAGATTTCAAATTCGCCTCACAGGGCCAGCTAGCTGGCCCACAATGATGTCAGCATTTTTCCGTCCTCTGATTGGTTGGTCAGAGCAAAACTAGAAAAGGGCTTACGATGGAACTGAAACGCAGAGATCACAGTTGCGGTTGTAGTGTAGAGGTTTTGGAGTTGTCTTAACTGGGTTTCTTGCTTTAGTAAAAACGGTATTCACCCTCAATACATGAAATACCTCTCTCTCTGTAACGCCACACTTTATTTTATTGCGTTTTTGTATAGCATTGATGGTTTCTATAATTGCGACGTACAGTGGTGGTATTAAGAGGTGAATTAAGTCGGGTAAGTCTCCACTGAAGGCCCAGGTACCAAATGCACGGCCCACCACTGATGGGACCTATGAAATAAAGTGATGCCAGACATTGTCACATATTTGCAGCTGCAGCACAAAAGTATTTGTCACATTTTAAAACGCTTATTGGATTAAATATTAATACAGGCTCTAGAGACTCTTTATTGTTGCTCAGCCTGTGATACATGAACATTTGACACAATATATCTGAAATTGTTATAAAAATGTATTTACATTTGTTTTGGGTACTGTATGTATTTGTGTGCAAACTGATTTTTCGGCATTTGTATGTGTTCCCCATTCTGACAACTGCTCATGTTGACATCTGTAGGCGTTCCTGGTTCACACCACAGAAGACAAGGGCATGACACTGTCAGTACACCTGTCTGATGAAAAAGGGGCACCGCTTGTGCACAGTCTGTTGGTCAAACAACACAAGAAATGTGCGTAACAAGTGCAGGTTCTGCTTTTTACAGCTACTATTAAAGTTTCATATAATGGAAATACAAAATGCAAGATCTGCATGCCTGAACACAGATAACAGGGCAGAGCAGATAGTGATTCATTCTCAAACTGCTTTCTGTCTCAGTTGTCCATTTAGAAGGCTCATCTCTGGTTTTTGATGACATCTTCAAGCTGATCTCCTTCTACTGTGTCAGCAGGTAACACACATATATTTAGATACAGTATGCACATGTACAGTAAAAACCACATATACACTCAACATTACTTATGTACATACAGTATGTACACACAGACACATATGCACTAAACATACTTATTGTATACTGTATGGACACTATACAGACACACCACATGCATCTATACATACAATTCCCACCCTCACATTACACCTTACAAACACACATTTACATGTATATGCACATACAGACAAAACCACAAACACAGAATTATTATGTTAAAACTACCCATTTAAACTTAATGCTAATTGGTTCCACCAATCAGGGACATCCTGGCCGTCCCACTGAGGTTACCCTGGGCCATTACTACAGCAACTAAGAGAGAGGAGCTGGAAGCGATCTCTGCTATGGGTGCAGGTAGATAAATCTGTATCATTGGTGCACTGAAGTTGGGTCATTGCTGCAGCAAAGAGTAGGTACAGCAAAGAAGGATACAGACAGGTGACAAATGAACGGACAATCCAACATAAAGTGTCTCAGTGAGGCGCTGGGCCACCAGGTGCCACTAGAGCAGCTTCACTGCTCCTTGACATTGACTCTCCAAGTCTCTGAACTCTACTGGAGGGATGAACACCATTCTTCCAAAAGACATTTCCTCATGTGATGTTTTGATGATTGTTAGACGCTGTCTAACACGTTGCTCCAACATGTCCCATAGGTGTTCACCTGGTTTGAAATGTGTTGACTGTGAAGGCCACAGCATATGACTCATGTTCATACTAATCACCATTCAGTGACCCCTCATGTCCAATGGATGGAGCACTGTGAGCCTGGAAGAGACCACTCATTTATTCTGGATTATCCTTTCATTTGTTACCTGTCTACATAAAATATGAAGAGAATAAAGGTAAATATACAATGAAGACATATGAATGACATCATATTTGAAATCATACAGACACAGAATGAACATACACAATATTAAGGAGTGTAAAACACTGAGAGAAGTTATTTAAAATTTATAACAAACAAGAAAACATGAACATGAATATACATCAGATGTATAGTATGTGTAATGAATGCATTATATCACATTTACAAAGAATTTATATATACTGTACAGTATAGGAGAGTCCTACATTTTGGCGCAAGCTTGTAGAGATGAGTATACAATCTGAATTTTGTTGGAAAAATAAAAAATAAAATCAACTGTTTTAAAATCATATGCCAACAAACTATGTAATTACAATGTTGCCATAAAACAATTAAGTCTGTTTCCCAAAATGTTGAAATGCTCCTTTAATTGTGTAAACTGATCAGATAAAAAAGGCAGAACATTCTTAGCAACATTTTGTGACACTTTGCTCAGTTATCATGAAGTTAATGTGGTTAAAAACTCTGGAAAACATCCAGAAAGTGCCTCTGTGGTAACAATTTCTTTGTTAAACTCCTGTTTCTAAGGTTGCAACTAAGTAATAAATGAGCACCATGCAACCTTTCAAAATTGACTGGATACTGGATGTGTTGCAGATTTCTGGACATCTGATCTGAACCACCAAGCAAAGAACAAGGACCTGGTTTTGAATGAGAACCACAACAGTCCGTACTTGTATGTCAGCCCAGTAACTGTAGAAAAAAGCCCCAGCAAAGATCTGCCTCCATCTTCTGTCTCCACACTTGATACCATCACCAATCAAAACACCACCTCCTCCCTGCAGAATGGAGAAGCCCCACAGAAGGTTAGCCCAGAGGTCAAAGGCCAAACTAAGAGCACACCAAACCACGAGCTTAAATACAAACGCCCCCCACCCCGGCCTCCCAGCCTCAGTTCTGGGTCTGGGATGGGCCTCCTCTTTTCCTCTCCTCCATTGCTTGACACATCATCTTCTGCAATTCCAGCAGCTGAACGGAAAGAACAAGGAAAGGAAGCAGTAGGAGGTGAGAGAGGGGAGAGGAAGTCATTGTCAACAACACCTCTTCCGTTAAGGCCTCCTGTTCCCCCACAGAGCCGATCCACTCCCCAGCTGCCTCCTCCTGCTCCTGTCCGTCGCACCTCCAGAAAAATCACTGACCAAGAGGTGGGACAGGGGGTGGAGAGAGAGAAGGGACAAATTCCTACACTGACATCTGTGAAAAAAGGGGGTGAAGAGAGACAAGAAGAGAATGGAGGAAGTAAATCAGGACAAGAGGACAGCAGAATAGAACATCAAGAGGAGGAGGTAAAAAAGGACAATGAAAAGAGAGAGAGTGAGGCTGAGAAGGAGAAAAAGGAAGTGACCATGGATAAAGAAGAGGATAAACAAAAATCCAGCTCCCAGTGTTTGCCATTACTGAAGAAACCATCCCGTCCAGTCCCTCCACCAAGGAGGGCACCATGTTCCACAGATACACCTGTGCACCCTAACCAGGCTGGAGGAGGATTAGCCAATCAGAATGCTGGGAGAAAAGCTGCCCCTCACTCCCCAGCTCAGCGGCCGGATGTGTCCTTGTATTCGCCACAAGGGAACACTGTGCTGGGAAATGACCCTGACTCCTGCTCTACCAGCAGCACAGAAGAAGAGGTAGAGCCGAACCAGGAACAGGAGCAAAGAAAGTAAGTCTGATGCATTAAGAGAGTTGGATACAAGGCTACTACTCAGTCTTGCTGCCAGTTTTTCTTCATGGCCCCTTATGGATGTGCCTTGCATTTACGAAAGGGAAAAAATGGAGGGTCTGTGCCACAATTAAGGCTTAATATTTCACAATTATGAGATAAGATCCTTCATTTTTTGTCTTTGGTGAAATGCACTACCACAGGCCTTTGTGGAATAAAAAATTTATAGTTGTACATATATAGATATGTGATAAGGAGTACCTGACTGCAGACAAGATGGCGGCCCTCTGCAAAACAGCACCTGACAGGAAATCACATGCCTCCGTACTTGAAGTTGGTCTTTTTTGTTTTTCCCCTTAGGTACTTAGCACACAGATTAAACATAAAAAGCTTATGCATAAGAAATACATTTAAAAGTCAACTGACTCTTTTAATGACTTTTATAGAATATAGAATAAATTGTGTGTGAACACACACACACACATATACACATATATATAAATATATACATATATATAAATATATATACACACACACACACACACACACACACACACACACACACACACAATTTATTCTGTGTTCTATAAAAGTCACAATTTATATTTATATATACATAGCTATATAAAACTATATATATACTGTATATTTCGATGTGTCTGTAGGGATTTGGTGGTTTCTACAAAACAACAAATGATCCGATCATTCCTTATGCTGTTATAGACAGAACACTTTTCCCAGAGTGTTAAAAGATTAACCACACTAACCCTGTAATAACCTCCCACTTCTCACAAACATTCTTGAAAAAAAAAAAAGCTTTCGAACTGTTATACTATTACTTATCCGTTAATAATATCCAAGCTGGTTTATTAAGTCCTTGTTGGTTTACACTCCCCATCTTACCTCTGGGACCATGATATCAAATGTTATTTGCATTTTATGACTGTTTAATCCACACAAAACAACTATTGACCTAATGTAAATAAATGAGGCAATAATGTCACAGCTTTAACAGGCTGAAATCAGTTTTTGGTAAGGAAGATTTCAGTGATTAAGCCATTCCCTATACTAACTTATTTTGCTATGCTACTAGCAAACATTAGAAATACATTAGCCAAATCAAATCAAGTTTTATTTGTATAGCGCCAAATCACAACAAAAGTCATCTCAGGACACTTTACAAAGTAAGGTCTAGACCTTACTGTTATCAATATTATTACATAGGGAAAACCCAACAAATCCCCCTTGAGCAAGCACTTGGCGACAGTGGGGAGGAAAAACTCCCTTTAACAGAAGAAACCTCCGACAGACCCCGGCTCTTGGTGGGCGGCCTTCTGCCTCGACTGGTTGGGGTGAGTGGATAGAGGAGAGACAAAAGAAGAAAAGCAATGCCCATTCAACCCCAAACTAAATATATCCTGCCCTGAAGGGGTTATGGGGCACTTCTTCCTTCCCTAGCTCCTCGCGTAAGAGCCCTCACTGGTTCATCTGGTCTCAGTGCACACCATCCAGGAAAATGGTGTAGGCATGGATGAGACCCTGGCTGGTCCTGGTGATGTAGATGACCCTCCGGCTGGCCGCTCCAGTGTCGCAATTGGGTGCAGCCCTTCCCTACTGGCAATGTGGAGAGCCACGGCATCTGTACACAGGCACCTCCACCACTCCACCAGCAGGACAAGGCTAATGATGCATGGATCTTGAATGATGGCCAGTCCAATTTGCTGTGTCATGGTGCAGCCAGCACCGGCCACTTTGAGCATACTCTCCCCCTTATCTCTGTGCTCTCACCAGTCACTGTGGCAATGCAGAGCTGGGTAGCTCCCCAGCCCTGTGGGCTCTGCAATGTCCAGGGGTGTATCAGAGAGATGGAGGACCCCATGTCCACCAGGGTGCAGCACTGTGTGCCAGTCCAGGTATAGTCCGTGTGTTCAGTCCACATGACCAACGCACTGCTTTAACAGGTCAAGGGTAGATGAATGGTCCAGGGACACTGGCCGTCATGCTGCTGGTGCTAGGCAATAGCGTGTGGTGTGGCCCAGCTCTCCACAGTGGTAGCACTCCTATCAGCATTGTTCAGCTGCTCTCCTGCTTCCTTGTGGTAGTGGTGGCGTGGCAGCGACCCGGCAGGCTGCCTCTCCTCGCCAGTCTCTGGCCAGGAGCCATGACCTGGGGCACAGAGCCCTGCCTTAGTGCACAGGCAGTGGTTTCCCACTCCACCCCGAGCTCCAGGGCTTCACCCAAGGTTCTGGACTTTTTATTAGGTTTTTTTTAAATTAGGTTTTAATGATAGCCCACTAAACACAAAATGACAGACAGTAGGTGAGCTTCTAATAACCAAAGCAGTAACAAAATGCCTGAGGCCAACAGGTAGCCTCATAACAGAAGCCACACAAAAATAAACTGAGTCTACAGGTAGGCTAAGTATGTCTCACAAATGTGAAAACAGGCTAAATGAAAGCTATTTGCTGAAAGAACACACAAATAAGTGTCAGGTAATATCTCTGGCCAAGAAATATAGAAGTACATGTCTAATAGCCTAACCTACTGTAAATGTCCTAAATAGTTGATTGAAGGTAAGAGACTGGTATGACATTTTATATGAGCACAAAGGATTGTAGATTTCCAAAAACAATATTACAGGTGTAATGATCCTACAACAGTAGCCTAAACCAGAGTTCACAGTCTTTAGTGAATAATCTAATGATGAACGGGCATAGAGGGTGTCCAGGTAAAAACAGTTCCAATACAGATTAGCAGTGATACACAGAAGACAACCAACCGGGTACTCCTAGGCTCCACCCATGCCTACAATCTGGTCACAAATGAATGCAGAGAGCTGGCTTATATGCTGGCTGGTTGACTACTCTGATGGTAAACAGGTGCATGTAAGTGGAATAGTAAAGCTGGGATGAAGACAGAGACTGGATAGGGAAGCAGAAGTGTACCAAAATAAAAACTTGTGATGGGAAGTGCACTGAATCATGGCCATGGCTACATCCATGATCATGACACATTATGCTACTGTGTTAAAAGACTGATATTAAAGCTGTGCATATTCCAAGCAAAGAGTCCATCCAGTTAATGACCCATGCTGAAGACATGGGAAATAGCACTGTTGCTGTGTTTCTTTTTAAGAAATCACACAAACTAATGCAATATTAACTGCTCTTTGGCTTTGGAAGTAATTTACTTGGAAGCTCAGTTGTAGGCGGTAATCTTGTAAAATGACCATGCTAATGTTTACAGCTTACATTAGAGCAAACACTGTTTAATCTATACCTCTCACACATCTGCTCTGTGTTTTTATACCTCCGCTCCAGCATTAGCCACGGCCAGAGGCTGTGTTTTTAGGTTGACTGTCCATCGGACCGTCTGTTGTTTCTTGTGATCGTAATATCTCAGGAACACTTTGAGGGAATTTCTTCAGATTTGGCACAAGTATCCACTTGGACTCAAGGATAAACTGATTAGATTTTGGTGGGCAAAGGTCAAAGGTCAGTGACCTCACTTCTGTCCCATACCTGTGAATCTAATTGGTTGACAGAGGCATGCAACCACAAAGTGGTAATTCTAGTCTGTTTTGGAACCATTCCATCTTCCATACTCTTTAAATGGAGAGGGATGGGGGAGGGGAGGAGAGGAGAGGAGAGAAACTCAGAGCATCTTGGGGCCCCCCAGCAGCCTATAGCAGCATAACTAAGGGAAGGCTCAGGGTCACCTGATCCAGCCCTAACTATAAGCTTTATCAAAAAGGAACGTCTTAAGTTTAATCTTAAAGGTAGAGAGGGTGTCCGCCTCCCGAACTGAGACTGGGAGTTGGTTCCATAGGAGAGGAGCTTGATAGCTAAAGGCTCTGCCTCCCATTCTACTTCTGTGGACTCTAGGAACCACAAGTAAACCTGCACTCTGAGAGCGAAGTGCTCTGTTAGGATGATAAGGCTCTACGAGGTCTTTAAGATACGATGGAGCCTTGTCATTAAGGGCTTTGTATGTTAGGAGAAGGATTTTAAATTCTATTCTGAATTTTACAGGGAGCCAGTGGAGAGAAGCTAATATGGGAGAGATATGATCTCTCTTGCTAGTTCCTGTCAGTACTCTGGCTGCCGCATTTTGGATTAACTGGAGGCTTTTTAGGGAATTATTGGGACATCCTGATAGTAAAGAGTTACAGTAGTCCAGCCTGGAAGTAACAAATGCATGGACCAGTTTCTCAGCATCACTTTGAGACAGGATGCTCCTGATTTTCTAGTATCACTCTACTAGTCAAGAAGTTCAACGTAACAAATCAGACTTTATAGAAAGTTTGAATGTTTAAAACTGCTCTAACTAATTTCACCCTCTAAATTTCGAGCGTGAATGAGAGTCAAAACAAACTCATGCAGTAACTTCCCTTCTTCACCTCCATGCCCTTCCTGCACTGTCTGTGAAACTACGCTACATCATATATGGTCACTATATTCTTGTAGTTCAAAAGTAATAACCGGCTCCAGAGTTTACGCATATTGAATATTGAGCCCAAAGAGTGCTTTGGTTTTTGGTGGCATTGCAGCGATATAGGTCCTTTTCCAACCTAAAACAGTAACACAAGCAAATTTTACAGAGGAATGCCTTTTCCTAGTAATTTTGATAGCATAGGCTACTAATGTTCTGGCCACTATCCCATCACAGTCAGTGTGAAAAAGACTGACTTGATATTTCTTTCCAGCCACCCTGCGGAGAGCTGTAAACCCAAGGCAGCAGTGAGGAGAACCCCCACCACCATTATGTTGGACCGAGCCTGCTACCGCCTGTCCACGGTCCTTACTGGGCTCATCAGCCACTACCGCCGTCTCACACAGCGCATAGTAGAGCTGGCCAGGGACCCTCTGAGCTACTTTGGTAACCTGGTGAGTGAGGGATACGGAATCTGAGTTTGGACTTCTCTGGATAACAAGATCAACCAAAAGTCTAAAATACAAATGGAATTAAGGTCAGCTTTCATATCATGTATTTAGGTAAAAGAACATCGTGCTTTCACCTTGGAGACCATGTCGAAGCACTCCTCCACCACTGAGCTGTTACAGGAGATCAGGCAAATGATGACTCAGCTGAAGAGTTACCTGCTGCAGAGTGCAGAGCTGCAAGCCATGCTGGAGCCACAACATCAGTATGCACAGGACAAACTAGGTAACTTTATTCACTTGTTTTGAATTGAGTCTGTGTGTCTTAGGTGGCACTAGCTATACATGGGTATTTTTGTAAAATGGTTCATTCTTTCACTTATTTATAATGCCGTCCCTGGTAGGCTAGTGGTTAAGGCACAGCGCTCTCACCGCTGTGGCCCAGATTCAAATCAGGGTTGCGTCAGGAAGGGCCAAAACATGTGCCAAAACGTCAACATGCGAGTCGAGTATGATGATTCGCTATGGCGACCCCTAAACGGGAAAAGCCAAAAGTGACTTTCTTTCACTTATTTATAATACTCATCCTCTGTCTTCTATGAGTGTGGAGAAGAGCTTTGTCAAATCAGAGAAGATCACAGAAAATGCCACAAGGAGTTAATCTTAGAAATGTATAACTGAAAGCCTACGTAATGTACTGGAGGTGCAGGTTTTGAAATATGCGGGTGCAATTTGATGAAAAGATACAACTGAGTTGCACTATGGGATATCTAGGATCCTGTATTTTGGTACTACAACTCTAGATATTGTAGCCTTTGCTGCTTCTAATTTAATCTGTTGCTTGTGAGTCCCACTGTTTCATGTGAGTGCAATACTACAGTCCAGTGTCACTTTAAAGAACATTTAACACTGTAAGAACCTACAAGAATCTGATTTAAGTGAATACAATTTATTTTTTTATATTATGAAAGTGTATAATTTAAAGATGATTAATATTGTTGTTTTTATTTATCCATTTATTTTAACACCTGTACAGTCTAATAGAATCCAATATGTCAGCCTTGCAGTATTTTCAGGTTTTGCAAGTAAGTAAAGTTTCTAGATTTCTGGAAACATATTGTAACAGATGAGACTCACTAGTCACTAACTTATGTGTGTGAATCTCTCTCACTCTACTGTCACCCTTCTAAATTTAGCAGTCAAATGCTCTCTAAATATCTATTACTCTGATGATTGGGAACCAGAATGAATGTCTATATCTACACAATAGGGTACAGTTATCTTGGGTTCACAAGGTGCTTGGTGATGGCACTCTGCACAGAAGAAACCTCCATCCCCAATAAGGCACACACTCACGTACTTATAAAAAAATAAAATGTATTTCAGAAAAAAAAACTTGGCAAGTATCATTCAAACAACAAGACCCTTACACTTCCCAAACAGACCTGGGCCTGAACAAGAAAAGAACAATATTCCCAAAAAAGATTGTCCTAATAAGATGCAGTTCAGTCACTTTTATTCTGTTTGATGCGTCGATTGTATGGTATCAGGTGTGTGGTATCATGTTCGATCCAAAAAAATTAATTTAAAAGTAACAAATAAAATATTGAGATCTCAATAAAAAACATAAATCCTCTGTAATCCTACCACCCTCCTGGAAACAGGTGGTTGTGGGAATCTGGAGTATCCTCCGCAGGCCTCATAGGTGGCATCCAGTCCGTGGATGGCGCCGCTCAGCTCCTCTAGTACGGGTAGTACGGAAGAGTATTAGGGCCACTGCATAATTTTTTTTTTTTAATTCTGACTTTATTCTCAGAATTCTGACTTTAAACTCAGAATTCTGACTTTAATCTCAGAAGTATGGGTACCTGTAGGGATCCAAGTTCAGTGAGTGCCTCTGAGTTATAACATTCAAATTTTTTCTTAAAAAAAAAAACATATCCTGACTGGTTTATAGTTAATAATATGCTGACATCTACACAACTGGCAAAACACTGGAAAAAAACAGCATAAATGATCAATGCATCCAGACGTATTGACTCATCAGGATATTCTTCAATAACTTGACACTCGTTAGTTCTATCACATCACCGGACTCAACATAACACTTTTGGTGCTCAGGAACAACACCTAAATCAATATTTCGAAGCTCAAAAAACAGTGTTTCTTAAAGATGTTTCTTCCATCCAACCCCGGAGAGTACAGAAGAAAGTTTCTCTTCCCTTTTTTTTATTTCCACCTGAAATCGAAAGATGCTGCTGTCTACACTATGGTGCGTTCACGGGGCATGGGAAAACAATACTTGGCAAATAATGTTAAGCTTACTGGAAAGAAAAAAATAAAACAGGAAAGGAAAAAAATATACACAGACCACCAGAATAACCTAGGTTACAATATGATGTTTTATTTATGTGTGTCCATGTAGAGAACATAGTAGAAGCTGCTCTGTGTAAGAGTGTACTGAAGCCTCTAAAAGAGCCCATTTACCAGTGTCTGGAGAAGCTGCACACCATTAGCGGGAGCCTGAAACTACTGGCACAGAACCAGGTACAACAGAGCATGAACACTTTTGCACCCATAATGCTAAAAGTAGAAAATGACAGTTGAAAATCTTAAGGCTTCATTAGCACATTACCATTTTTACCGTTTTTTTTTTTTTTGTTTTTTTAATTGTGTTGTTGGTTTTTTTGCACACCAGTGAATATCACTCAGATTGATATTTGGTTGTTTTTATTACACACCCTCAACAAAAAAACTAAACTAAATCCAGGCTGAAAAAAGAATACCATATAATTGCTACGAGTTTCTTCAAACTACAGTATTTAACGGACTTTAACATAAAACATTTGCAACAGTCATTCAGTTAATTTTTTTAAGAATGGTGTTCCGTATGTTTGTTTTTGAAACTGAACCCCAACACAATTTCCAGATGATTTCCAGCACTACAGCTGTAATAGACTAGACTACATACAGTACAATACTGTTTCTACCAACAGGAACAGCAGATGCAGTTGTGCTGATGCTGTGTGTATCACTGTGTATGTCAGTCTGTTGTACTAGGCAGCACCACCACAGCATTAGGAGTAACCACTGCTGTCCCTGAGGCCTCGGCTATGGAGAAGATCAGCATCAAACTGAACAACCTCCACTTGGAGTATTCACCTCAGAAAAAAATTGAGATGCTGCTGAAGGCCTGCAAGATCATCTATGATGCCATGTCTGTCAGCTGTCCAGGTCAGAGCACACAGCAGGCCTTTAATCCTGTGATGGGTTAGGGTTAGGAATTTTATAATGTCAGGGTTTTTTTTTTATTACAAGAGCTAAACAGGAAGTAATCACAATTACCTCACCAGAAGGCATGTTTGTTATTTCCTGTTTGTGTTCCAGACTTAATTCAAAGAAGGTACTCATTATTCTGTAGCCATTTCTTTAAGAAATATGCTTTTTAGATCAGTGGTTATCACATGAAGGCTTATGGTAGTGCCATTCCACCATGAATGTGCTAAGCCACCTAATGATGATGTCTTTAAAGCCACTGACTCAGGAGAATCTTGGGAAATGAAGAAGACTTGTGCAAACATGTGTCACTATCCTGTGTTTTCAACATGTGACCACAGTGACTGCTTTTCTCCACTGCCAACAATCACATTCTGAGAGAGCAATACATTCTTCACATTATTAAACTGGGCAGATTTAATAATTCTACACACTGCTGTTTTTGGACTCGTTCTAACCATGTGTAGACATCACTCTGCACATAGAGTGCAGACTCAAGTGACTAAATATAAATTTCTCCAGCTCAAATCAAAATTAGTTTCCTCTCCAGAGTTTACCCTGTCAACATATTTACCTGTGTGTGTTTGTGTGTGTGTTTTCAGGACGGGCTCATGGTGCTGATGACTTCCTGCCTGTAATGATGTATGTGCTGGCTAGATGCAATCTGGCTGACTTGCAGATGGATGTTGAATATATGATGGAGTTGATGGACCCATCACTAACACTAGGAGAGGGTACACACATACACGTATTTACTCTAAAACATGCAGTTTCAAACTGATAACCACTTAAAAAGTTTCTCCCGTTGACATATCTATATGTTTTATTTCATTACTGATTGTGCCCATGTGTGTGTGTGTGTGTGTGTGTAGGGTCTTATTATCTTACCACCACATATGGGGCTCTGGAGCACATTAAGACTTTTGACCAGCAGAGGTCGGCAACACGGCAGCTCAGCAGAGAGGTTCAGGATTCTATCCACCGCTGGGAGAGACGACGCACGCTCAACCAGGAGCACACGGCTCAAGGATCTGTTCGGGTACCCACACACACACACACACACACACACACCATCATCATCATCATCATCATCATCATCATCATCATCATCATCAACAGTGTCATAGTGTGACCTGAAACGGTTAGAGTGACTTGTAGGAATCGATACAGAAACAAGCTGATTATATGGTCCTCGTTGTGTAACTTCTTTGCATTCCTCTATGTGTGTTGTATAGGACTTTCTGACAGTGTGTTGTCCCAAGATTGAAACCAACCCCAAAACTCTGGGTGTCCTCCCCACCACCACAATCCAAGAGCTGACTGAGCAGTGTGCTGCACGCTTTGAGCAAGGTAGATGTCTGGAAGACAGCTCAGGGTTATTGCACTTTTGGTTCTTTTATTTGCCACAAATCTCCTAACTTTCCTAACTTTAAACAACATGAAGATAATTTTCATAGTCCTGCTCTCAAACTACTTTAAAATATTACTCTGACAACTTCTGCAGGAATTTGACAGACACACCGAAACATGAAATAACACACTGGCTACAGTCACAGAAATCTTAGGATTCTTCTTTTGCTCATAAACCATTTAAACAAATGTCCACATGATGCACCAAGGAATGGACCAATTTGTGATAAAATGATATGATTCTGAGAAGGACTTGTGAAAAATGGCCCTACACTTGTGTGTACTTATTTTTTGCAAGGTACAGGACTTTCCGGGTTAATGTTACTGTAAGGGTGCACACTTTTATTACTAATATGACTGTGGCAAATGCGAAGCACAACAACTAACAAGACAAAAAGAAAAAGGGCTATAAACATACAATGCTGTGGTGAGTGACTAAACAAATAGCAGAGTTCAAATCTATTTTGAAGACATGACATAACTGGTACTCTGAGCAGCAGCAAGTCAAATCAACATAGCCTACATCCTGCAAGTTATTACTCTTTCAACTAAACATGTTATTCTTCTAATTTAATCACAAGCATAAACTTTATTGCCACGTATTATCAAAACTGCAAGGAATTTGACTCCAGCCCAGATTTGTTGTTGCTGGTGAAAACAACTTTTGCTTTTATGCTGGTTTGCCTGCTGATCTACGTCAGTGTTATTTAAGGCCCACACTCATTCATAGTAAGATTAAAATGTCAAAGCTGACAACTCTGGGTGGACAGGCTCCCCAGGTGAGTTATAATGGTGAGCTGAGGTTTTATCGCTTGCAGCCCATACTGGGATGACATTCCAGGCTGCTGGCTCATGAAGGGTTTGAAGGGTCAAAGTTTGCAGGAACAGCATTGTGGTTAAGTCACCGTGCAGGAGATAAGGGATCTGTTATTTGACTATTTGGTGTTTCAGACCACTAGTACAGCTATCTGACTGGGTGCAGGGTGTAATTCTTATAGCTGTGTTAGCCAGCACTCCAGGAGGTCTCTGAAGACGCTATTGGTCCTGTCGGACTCTCTGCTCTGGAACATTCTCCTACACCTCCATAGAGTTGGGGAACTAGCAAGACACAGATAGAAAATAAGAATTATTATCACTGAACCAGCAGCGGATGTGATGTCCTCACTTTTAGTCCCTATTATGGCTCAAGCCCCAAAACTGCTGTAACCTACAATTCCCGTTATTCATCTCAGTACAGGTCATCATCAAGGTTATTTTATCAGACATGACAAAGGTGCTCCAGAGTCACAGAAGACAGTTTTCACAGGCTGAGTAGCACTTATCATGTCAGTAAGCTCTTGTTAGTAAGCAAAACTGAGCAATAGCAATGAAGCGTGCACTTATTCACTTTCTATCTGAGAACAGTACAGGAACAGTGACAGCTATGGAGCTGGAATCAGAACGTGGTTAGCCTAGCTTAGCACAAAACCTGGGAAAATAGCCTGGCATTGTTCAAAATAAAAAAAAAATAATCCTACCAACTCTAAAGCTCACTGATTAAAATGTTGCATCTCATTTGTTTAGTGTGGCCATACACATCAGAGTGAACATGAAAATGTGTGGTTTCAAACAAAGACGATACAGTGACTGTGCAGCATTTCACAGTCTCATCATCACCATGAGCTTGTTATATTTAGTACCACTGTGCTTGCATAGAGACCTATAATAACGTACTGTGAATATCCTGTGCTAGAGGGAGAAATTCTGCATTGATGAACTAATAAACCCTTGTTTGTGAAGAAATAGTTACAGCTTGTTGCTTCTTGAAAAGTCACAAGTGTACAAATAAACACAAACAAAATGCAGCATGTTAATTAGTGAGCTTTAGATTTTTCTTTTTCTTTTTTTGAAAGAGTCATGCTGGCTGTTTCCCCCATTTCTGCTAACCTCTGTTGGGTTTTATGCTAGACTTGAGTGTTCTAGAAACAAATAATATTTGAATAGTGTTTAAGCTTGTTGGTGTCACAAATTCATCCTTTGTTACAGTTGCATGACGATGATATGGTCACTACACTATTATTACAGTGATCTTGTGGTAACCTCGTGCCTCCTTGTTTCTCTCCCCCAGACTCCTACACACTCAGTGTGTATACAGATGGTGTTCACAGGCACCTGGCCTCCACAGAGCTGGCTCTTAGTGTTAAGAACAGCTGCCAACCTGGAGCCTACTGCTTTGTCTATCACCCTAAAGATCAACCCTTCGAGCCTGGGCGCAGCTGTCCCAGTGAGCCGCCCCCAGCTCCACCTGCAGAAAGCTTCTCCCCAGCTGACACAGCAGCTGTCGATGTTGTGGAACCAGAGGTGGCAGAGGAGAGTCTGATTAGCTTGTAACTGCTAGAGCATCACAGTGGCTATTACTCTATTGCTCTAGTGACTACATTGCTACATTGCAGTATATCTACATTGCTGCAATGACAGTGTTACTGCAGCAACTGCATCAACATTACCAGTTCAAAGGAAGAGGGGAATGAACTTTAAGAAAATGTTTGAATGTCATGTCTCACCTGAAATATTAATCTGAGGACTTAAATGAAAAATATGACTGATAGGGATTAGTGGATGAAACATGGATTGTATAGTATGACATCTTTCTTTTGAATTCATTCTATATGATGTTATGGTCTGGTGCCACATGCTACATGAATCACCACAGAGAGCAGTGACCAACTAAAATGAGCTAACAAAAATATAAAAGATTGATTTTGTATTTCATCGAGGGGTCTGGTACCCCACGAAATGGTTTTACAGAATGTAAAAATATATATTCTTAAATGCACATACATGAACACATTTATATTGTTTATACTCTGATACTTTATGCTACTCTCTCTCTCTCTCTCTTGCCTGAGATTTGTCAGCTTTATTTTAACAGGATGAAGCTGTAATTTCTATGGTATACTAATGTAATCAGCATTTAGATCAGTGTTGCTTTGTTTCCCAATAACCGCTAAAACACTTGTTTAAAGGGGGAAATGCCTTAAGCAGCTATTATAACCTTCACTTTTAATACAGAATCCTCAGAAACGGGGTTTCCTTTGACGTTTGTCTTCTATATATTGATTCTGACTGCATTGTAAATAAACTGGCTTCTAGATGCTGTTTCTTGTTTACTTTGACATTTCTAAACTAACAACATTAACAACATTTCTACAGTACATACATACCTCAAAAGGGTTCTCTTATCTAAAATAATTATTCACACATGCCATATACATCAGTTATAAGCCATTAGTAAGACCAAAGTGTACGTGTACGAGGATAAGAACTGGCTAACCATTTTATTGTTATCAGTGGCCCATAAGTCATCTGTAAAGCATTACTAAATTACTTAACTATTAATAACCAGAAGAAAATCATAAAAAAAAGAAACTGGGACTACAAGGATACAAAAAAGAGGCAAACAATGGGGGACAGAAAAAAGGAAAGTGCTTTATTTCTGTCTACGCACGTGCTTTCATCTACAGAAGACACCAACATTTAACAATACCAGTGTAATAGTTGTGGAGGGTCTGCTTTTTACTGCATGCTTGATTAGCTGGAATTAAATGGGCAATGAAGACTAGCTGGGTGTACTCATGTATTGAGCTGTAGCTTGATCATTTAACTTTTAGAACAGAAATAATGAGATATTTCAAGGATATTGTCAAAAGAATTTCCAAACAGAGCAACAAAGTCACTGGAATGGTAACAGCAGTATTCTTTACTTGCAGCAATGAGACAAGTCAGCATGAGCATACAGAGTTGTCTGAATGAGATAGGTGGAAACAGTACAATCTATAGTTGAAAGGGAACTCCCTGAGGATGCAACCCAGGCGTTAACCAAGTCTTAAAGTAGATTTAAAGAGCAGAAAGGAAGTTGAAAGGGGGTTGCCCTGATAGCCCCTCAGACACTAAATAAGCTGGGTGCATGTTTATTTTCACAGTTTATGGCTGGGCTCCTCTAAATCTGGAACATCTTGTAGTTGAATATATCACAGCACACAGAGTTTAAAAAGAAAGATAAAACATGTCCTTCAGGTCACACAAGCAGTTTCTCGTGGTTCTCTGGTCTGAAAGTTTAAAATCCATTGAATAGCATATGTTGGTTAATATATTGATTAAAACACAGCTTAAAACATAGTTAATAATGTAATTCTCCTGACATTTCCCCCCGTTTAAACTTTTAGAAACATTTTATTTATAGCATAATTCTTAATCTTGTTCATCCCAGGATCTCATTGTTTAAACTCTCCCTTTCAGGTTTTCATTATGTTAGGTATTTTTAGTCAGATAGATATTAGTTAGATACTTGATGTATTAGAAATGTTTAGTGGAGATAGGATGTCTAGTTAGACTGTTAAATGCTTAGTCATGCTTATGAGTTTCTACAGGGTACATCTGGTCAAGGATAACTAGAGAGAAGAGTTGATGACTGTCAGCAGACAGGATGTTTAATATTATTATTATGACGTGTATACCTGTAGCCTTAGCCATAATATGTTCTTATGTTTAATATCATGACATGTTACTAGAAGTCTGTGAGAATGTTTTTAGCTACACACCACTTAATCAACAGACACACACACATTGATTTGCTTCATGTTTTGACTACTGCTATGACCAGCTGCAAAGCTGGTAACAGAGACGTCTCGGTTGACGTTTCTGTGTAGTATGGGGCTAGCCCAACCGAGGGGATATAATGTATAGGCCTGGTGGGTTCAGGGTCTTTCATCTTACATCTGCCTGTGAGCAGTTTGGAGGTGCAAGATACCTGAGCGTGTAATGTTAATTTTACCTGTGATCCTTTGAATAAATCAGCACTGTTTTGAAGTTACTTGGACTGCCTCGTCTCTCATGGTAAGACGGACCGTTTCCTACAATTAAAACAAGTCATACATGGTTCACTCAGATTAGAATCTGGAAAATCTCTTTTCAAACCCCATCGTCCGGTTCGTAGTGATCTTCTTCTTCTTTTTCCTTGTCACGAATCTGATGGTATATTGTCTTAGTCAGAGCAGTGTCTACCAGTCCCTCCATCAGTCCGCGCAGGCAGGGAATGCAACAGCAACCACACACGACCAGGGCTGCAGCTACGGACAGAGAGATCAACCCAGAAGCAATCAGGCCACTCCACTTTCTGAACCAGGATTCCAGGAGGCTACGAGGGGGTTGTTGATGCCAGAGTTCACAGCCAGCTCCTTGGATAGGGCCGTCAGTCCTTCAATGGCCTAGGTGATGCTGCCATCTGGGAAAGTGTTGTTAGATATAAAAGTACAACAAAATGTGGCAAACATTTTTACATACTCCTCCCCTCTCGGCTAGCAACATATCTAGGGCCATTCTATTGTGCCACGACGAGAGAAGTTGGGCCTAGTTATTCTGCTATGCCTACTTAAAGGCTCTATTCTATTATAAAGCCTCGTCCGGTTCTTTCAAACCAGGAACTCAGAGGGACGACTCAGACCACTTGGATATATAAAAAATATAACCGTGCTGGTTTATTCAAAGAGTCACAGGCAAGAATTAACATTACAAGTCCAGAGATCTTCCCACCCCCAGGCTGCCCAAGCAGCCCGGAAGCAGCAAAGACCCAGAACCCAGAATTGCTATACAATATCATCACTTAGTTGGCTCGCCCCCTCCTCCACCGAAACGTCAACCGAGACGTCTCTCAGCTTTGCAGCTGGCTATAACGTTAGCCAAAACATGAGGAAAAGTCAAGGTGTGTGGCTGTTGTTTTCGTGGTGTGTATCTAAAACAATTGGACATAACCTTACACATTAAGACAAATATTAAGACTAGCATTACAGTTGACACTAACAGCTCTTTTCCTGTAACCTTGACCTGCCTGCAGTCTGCACTGCAAGCACAGTTAACAGCAATATCTATCTAACTAAGAAATTACCTAACAATTAATGCATCTCTGGTATGATTCACAAAACGTTGTTGATTATAGTATAAGTAGTTAATCCAATCCACATTCTTATTTAATGTGACCCACCAGGAAAGAAAAGATTTGAACCCTACAGCTATTTGAGTTCTAGCTTTAAATTCATCAGGTACTCCTCGGGGTATGCTAATTGCATCTATGTACACTCTGTGGTCGAACAATCTTCAGGGCTCGCCTGTAGATCTGGTTTCACGATGTAAGTGGGATGCAGATAACAGCTTCTCCCCCAGCTCCCTGTATTCTCTCAAGGAGAATATGTGAAATGGCATCAGCAGCTGCACCAGGGCACAGCTATCACGCCACAGTGAGGGGAGTCTGGGTCTCAACTGGCCATCTCCGTAGAGCCACCATATGTCTGCCCTTGAGACGGTTTGGTTCAAAAACCAGGCGGCAGAATATTCACCACTGTCAGTGGTGATGTTGAAGGTCTCCTCACACCAGGCAAGGGGCAGGTTGTAGACATTCTTGCCGATACCAGAGCGCACGAAGCATGTGTAATTACCAGGATAAATGTTTACCGAGGGAGGAACGTCTCCTTTGTTTACTGGTGGATACAGCAAAGAGAGATTTACATCGTTCAGTGGTTGGAGAAAAAGCCTTATCAAGCAATTGTAATATGCACTGTACTCCTGTAGAGTCTGTTATTTTGTTCAGTTGGAGAGGAGCTGTTCCTAATTAAGGCCTAGCAGTTGAGCATACAATACAATTACTGACATTACTTTGTCATTCAGTAAAGGACATCCACTCAAACCATACATTTTTATCAGCATATCCTGTTTCTAAGGCCATTACATCCTGTACAGTAAGGTCTTTCAGGTATTCTACTCCTTCATCCACTAGAGGTGCAGTAGTACTGTCAGAATCACCTAAGGGAGGAGATTTTGTATCTGCTTCGGTAATTTTTATGCAGAAGGCCCCTATGAGGTTGTTTCCTCTCAGGTATATGCCTAATGGGTATATGCCACTATCAGCTGGTCTGGCTTCTTTTAGAGGAGGGGGTTACAGCTGTTAGGTGTACAATCTTGAGGGTCACTGTTGCCTTTAACTATATTTAGACAATTCTTCTGTGGGGAAGTGGGATTATATCCCCAGTCTAAGGGTCCGGTGTTAGCCACTACAAAATTCCACGTGGGACAGTGTAGGATACTACCCCTATAAATACCACGGTCCTTAGCCCTAGCACAGATATACTTGTCATCCCACATGTACTGTTTTGGGTCTTCATAACAATGTATAAGGTTACACAGATCCATTTTTGCCACTATGGTATGTGGTAGTGGGAACAGGGCAGGACCCAATAAAGATGTCTGGAGACCGGAGAGTAGCTTCAAAGAATTCTTTATTTCATGCAGCATGGAGAGAAGTCATACATAGCTTTTCAGTCGCGCAGAGTTCTCTGAGTGACTGGTAAAGGGGCAGTCCCTTTATACCAAAGTGATACAATACACATCTATAAAACTCATACCGTTGTCTCACATCTAACAACTCGCATACCTTCTCTGCCTTTGATGTCTGCACCTCTCCGCGACCAGACAGCCAATTCACATTTTAACAAAGACAAGTCGGCTTGTTTTCCATTCACACACCGACCCACTTAACATATTATAAGTTCTGCTTTATCTTGGGATGTCCTGCAGAGACCGGGGGCCCACATCCTGAGATGACCACCTGGCCAGTTTAACATACAAATTAGCATCACACACACACACACAGACACCCGGTGTAGATCACATTCCAGCAAGAAGGTGTGAGCTCCGGCCCACCTGCGATCAGACATCCACAGGTATCGCACTCTTTGCCCTCTATCACAGGCATAGGATTACGAATTGCCATTTATCTTTTACTACTCAGCTTTGTCACTGTCTGTGGTGCTTCAGCCAAGAGCCAGGAAAGTAATAAGATTACAATTATTCTTAAAGTTGACATGATTAAGATGCCAATGCGACTGGTCCTGTTTTTGGTTATACTCTCAGGTCTAACATTTACAGGTGTGGTTTGTCCAAACAGTCCCCAGCTGGTTTCCTGAGCCTCCTCTACCTGTCCCTGCATATTTTAGGTCACACCCTATGCACCTATTGGCCGATGGTTTCTTCACTGAGTTTGAGACAACTCTTCCCTATTGGAAAAAGCCCCCTTTGTAATCAGACTTATTGCCTTCAAGGAGCGGTGGCGTGTAACTAACTATCCCTTGCCTGTGTTATGAGAATAAGGGCGTCACCAGCTTACAGTCATATAGATGAGGATCTAGGATCTCCTCTCAGCTATTGTATTTTTGTAGGTGTGGTGAGCAATACCTGGTATGGATCTTACTACCTTGGACTGGACCAGTTTTTTGAGGTGTATGTGATTAAAGCTGCCATGGGTGAACAGAAAACACAAACCAAGGAAACAAGGGATGACGTCTACAAAACGTGTGAGAGTTTAATAACTATAACGGACAAAATGGAGCATCTGGAAGCACAGTCCAAGCGAAAAAACTTGATCTTTGAGGGAATCAAGGAGACAACTGGAGAAAGCTGGTCGGAAGCAGAATGTAAAGTGAAGGAGATTCTGAAAAATAATCTGCAAATTCATCAAGAAATTGAGATGGAGCGAGCTCACAGGCAATTTTTAAAGCCACACCACCTCCCATCTTATTCTCTCTGTTTGTGCATACCAAGTCGTACCCATCAAGGTCAAAATCCATTCCCCTTACATTATTAATCCAAGTTTCAGATATAGCAATTATATTAAAAGAAGGTGTAAGACTACAAAGATAATGTTTTATACTCTGAAAGTTTGCGTATATACTTCTGCTATTAAAGTGT